TATAGGACTGATAGATATTTGGATAGTTTGCAGTTTATGGACATTATAATTCAAGATGCTTTGAACTTTATCCTTTTTTCTTTTGAGACAGAGTCTCACTCTGTTAGCCAGGCTGGACTGAAGTGGTGTGATCTTGGCTCACTGCCACCTCCACCTCCTGAGTTCAAGCAGTTCTCTGCCTCAGCCTCCAAGTAGCTGAGATTATAGGCACCTGCCACCATGCCCGGCTAGTTTTTTTTTTTTTTTTTCTATTTTTAGTAGAAATAGGGTTTCACCATCTTGGCCAGGCTGGTCTTGAACTCCTGACCAGTGATCCACCTGCCTTGGCCTCCCAAAGTGCTGGGATTACAGGTGTGAGCTACCATGCCCGGCAGAACTGTATTAAAAAACAAAAATTTCTTATTTTGCCATGAACATTTTTATACATGTCTTTTGACGGATATGCACACAGTACTTACTGTAGCTGGACATATACCTACAAGTGGAATATCTAGTTATACATCTGGTTTTAAGTTTAGATGGATACTTAAAAACGGTTTTCTGTGTCATGTGCCAGAAATTACATTTTAACAACAAAAAAGTAAGAAGGACAGTCTCAGAATAAAAAGTAAAAGATCAACTTTTTCGAAACAATATGGCATTGTCTTTGTGCTCTGCAATTGGAAAACACTGGTTTTCCTGCCATCAGTATTCTCGTATAATCAAGGAGTCATTGACAAGTTGGTTCTGACAATGCATTTAATGAAAATAATTTATACTTTTATGTAAACTTCTTTAACAACATGATTCTGCTTAATTTTGTTTTTAATGTTATATTTTGTGAGGAGAGACATGGTTCTTTAACTCAGAACAAATGCAGTAAAGTCTCTGAGTTAGAGCTGGTTAGAGGGCCATTTTAGTCAAAGCATGATTTTTACTTGATGGCAGGGGAAAATCAGTTTTTTCAAAAGAATAAAAGGAGAGATACTTAGGTGATTTTGACAAGGGCCTTCCCAATTGGTGGTGGTGACACTATGATATCTTTTTCTGCCTTGGCCTCTTAAAGACAAGTGCTCAGGTACCCGAGAAGCTAATGGTGCTCGAAAGCAATAGAAAGCACTTGTTAACTTGCGGCTCTGTTCCATGGGCTCAGCAATTTCAAAGAAGAAAGTGAATTGATCAATATTTTGCTGCTGTTTTGAGAAAAACTTAATGATTCCAAGTTACTAAAGCAAGAGTTAGTTTTTAAGGTAAACAAAGCAACTTAAATGAAATAATTCTTTTGAGAGGTAATAAACCTTTTTAACCCTTTCTCATTCTAAAAGTACAAAGTGCTTATGTGGTATGGGGGAGTAGAAAAAGATAATGTGAGGATCCATATAGCCTTTGTTTTTCAAAGTTATTCATTCATGTCGTTTAAAGAGCCGGATTTCTACAAAACTCATAGTAAAAAATAAGACCTTTGCCTTCTTCGTCTTCTTCCTTTATCTAAGAGGAACCACTTTTTTGATCCTAATTATTTTGATATTTACCTCCATATCTTGAAATGACATGTTTATTTCTGATTTGGTCATGTGTAGGCATCATCTAGTAACTTCCCAGTTGGAAGGTGAGAAGTTAACTTTCACTACCCATTCCACCAAAATAAACTGTAATACGTTTGATTTACTTTCTGTCACTTGAAAATTTCCTGAATCTCTTCATCCTCTTTACTCCCAATGCTGTGACCGACTGCCAGGATTTCTTTAGCCTTTACTGGTTCCTGCCTCTAGTCTGGCCTCCCTCTAGTCTGTTCATCATGGTACAGCCTCTCTGGTTTTTCTGAAGCATAAATATTCTATTCTCTTGCTGTTTAAAATTCCCGCAGTGGCTTCCCATGGCCTTCAAGATAAAGTTGACATGTTAATTTGCCCTGTCAGACTTCTCATGCATTTTTTTCTGTCTGTTCTCCAGATTCATCTCTGTGCTAATAAGTGCCTTGCATTTTATTTTTTAGCCATCTTGAACTTGTTTTAGTTACCAGAAGGCAGTGTCATCTTTGCAATGTTGTCCCCTCTGTAAAGAATACTACTTCCTTCCTAGGCAAGTCCAGTATCATGGTCTATACTCAGAGTACCCTTTTTGTGAGAAACATTACTGAAACTCTGAACTAGGTATGAAGTCCTTGCTGTGTCCCTGTAGTATCTTATACTTCTCCTGTTGGAACTAAATACGAGTTTCATTAATGTGTGTTTAATTCATTGTCTTTTCCATCAGTTGGTAAGCTTTTTGAAAGTGGGAGCTATATCTAACTTGTTTACCACTGCTAACATAATGTTTGGCGCATAGAAAGTGCTAGGTGAAGCTTTATTGAATATGTGGATTAGTGAAACCAAAAGTAGATTAGATAAAAAGGATTTTTCAGTACAATCTTGAGGCTGATAAAATAGGATGGGACATAGTAAACCCTAGCCTTAGAACTTTATTCCAAGTTTGTTGGAAGGGAGGGGATATACATAATAGTGGTTGCATGTGCTCTGTCACAGGATTGCTACCTGCTGGTGCAGGTGTAGGAAACATACACTCAGCCCTGGGAAGCCAGCTAAGTAAGTTAAATTAGTCAGTTGTAACTTTTAGGCATCCAAAACTTTTCCGCATGTCTAGAAAGCTGGGAGTCAACAAGTCTTGAGTTGTTAAATCATAAAAGATTTAAACATTTACATGGAGGGAAGAGGGTAGGGGGTCAAATAATTTGTAAAGATCTCATTGGAACTTTGGGGCAAGCAGATACCAAAGTATTTTTTTTTTTTTTTTTTTTTAATTTTTTATTGGATTATAGGTTTTGGGGTACATGAGCAGAGCATGCAAGACAGTTGCGTAGGTACACACATGGCAGTGTGCTTTGCTTTTCTTCTCCCCTTCACCCACATTTGGCATTTCTCCCCAGGCTATCCCTCCCCACCTCCCCCTCCCACTGGCCCTCCCCTTTTCCCCCCAATAGACCCCAGTGTTTAGTACTCCCCTCCCTGTGTCCATGTGTTCTCATTTTTCATCACCCACCTATGAGTGAGAATATGCGGTGTTTCATTTTCTGTTCTTGTGTCAGTTTGCTGAGGATGATGTTTTCCAGATTCATCCATGTCCCTACAAACGACACGAACTCATCATTTCTGATTGCTGCATAATATTCCATATTTTTAAAGAGCAAAGAATAGTGAGAGACTACACTGCACAATCCCTGTTGCTCTAAAGAGTAACATTGTACCCTCCATTGGAGGTGTCCAATGTTAACAGTCCTCTAGTCCCCCAGTCACATGTGGTCCCAGTCTGCATTGCTTATTCTTAGATAAGAAATTCTATAACCATGGTTCTTTGCAGAATAATAATCCTTATAATTTGGGAAAGAATACTATATTCAGATGGTTTACATAGGATGTCAAACGTTTTCAGAAAATAGTATCAATGCAGTATTTATCTCTATTTCTCTCTAACGCAGTTATAGTTTTATGAGCTTTGCTGATTAGTTAGAGCTATGCCTCTGGAATAAGCCAAAAACGAAATCATTTCTGCATCTCTAGACTACAGATAGTGTTTTCCTGGAGATAATTAGAGGTTTGTTCAAGATCACTGTTACTTCAGTAGGGTTCTGTTTCTATACACACACCCCTCCCTCCACCACCCTACCACCCTATCTACTTAGAGATAACATTGAGATGGAAGACTCTTAGTAACTGATTTCTAAGCTTGCTTCAGATTGTTGGTTTTTTGTTTGTTTTCTTTTCCTGAGTCCTTTTGGAGGCTTTCTTGGCCTGGAGACAAAATTGAATAGTAAGTATGAATTTCAAGGTTACAGCTAAGCTTACTTGTCAACAGAGAGCAGTGACTAGGCTAACCACAGCCTTGATCTTATTTCATGTGTCTTTGCCCTGAGGCAGAAATCTTCATTCATAATTTAGAGGAAGTGAATGGTTATAGATATAAAGTTGCAGGTATCTGAGAAATTAGAAAAGATGTCAAAGAACCCCACTGGGCATTAGAAAATACTTTTTAGTATTACCCAAGTTTTTGATATTGCTTGCAAAGATTTTCCAGGGCTTTTCAGAATTATATGCTACCTGAAAATTTATATTCTGAGACAGCAGCCAGCTTGGCCTGTAGACAGTTGTAAAATCACAAACTTGGTGAGACTGAAAAATAGCTTTCTAGAGCAATAGTTCTGACGGGAGTGTAGGGGTGATTTTTTTTCTCCCCAGACATTTTCTCATGTCTGGAGTAATTTCGATTGTCATTCTAGGTGGACAGAGGCTGGGGATGCTGCGAAACATCTTATTATGCAGAAAAATACCAAGATTGAGAAACACTGATTTGAGATAGGCAGGCAGGCGGGCAGATAGATAATAGACAGATATTAATGCATTATAAACATATATGTATATACAAATCTTCACTTTTGGACTTTTTTTCAGAGGATAAAAATATTTAAGGAAAGAAAATTTATTTCAATTCTTAGATCAGCCAGCATCTTTAAAAATGGTTGGTATATTCATGTCACACATACACTCTCAAAGCCTCAGGAGCCATAGCCAGGAGACCCACAGATCCTGAAAGCAGAGCTGTGCTTGTAAAGATGTACTTCAGAGGTCCAGAGGCTTAGGGCACCATCCTTGAAAGAGCCTTGAGATAACTGAACATCCTCGAAGGTAATTTCTTTTCTGTAACATTTTACTTCTGTCCCCCTTGATATTGAAGTACTTTGCTCATTGTGTGCTGCAAGATTAGTCTTTAATTGATCTCTGCCTTGCCCGTGAGCCTCCTAAGTATTTGTATGAATTGAGAGTCAGGAGAGAAAAGGAGTAAGGGAGGGGGCATGATTATGGAATTACACTTGAAGTTAAGATTATTTGTTTTAGGAGTTTTTAAGGTGATTATACCTAATGAAAGCTTTTGTTATCTTTAGTTTCTACTACTGTGAGCTGTTCCCTAAGGTTTTGGAACACTTACCTTATATTCTACTTCAGTGTATTTATTTATTTATTTATTTCTGAGGTTTAGCATCAGTCTTTAATGCTGTCGCACTGCATTGACAAGTCACACACTTTTGTCTCATGTTGGCAGTGGCAACTTACAATGAGTCTAAAGGTCTGAGCACCCAACTGGTGTCGAGGGAACAGACATTTGTTGCAACTCCCTCCCCAAGATTTCTTCAGAATTCCATTATGGCCCTGTGCAGAGAGCCGCGGCTGCTGGGGACCGGTTTTATTTGAGTGTACACCAACTATACACGGAATTAATTATAAAAACATATTTACAGATGTTCCACAGTGCTCCTGTAATCAGAAGCAAAGACCCTTTTATCAAAAGGGATTATATCTAGGTCTGTGCAAAATTCAAAAGGATCAGATCCCTTTTAAAGAGTCCAGAGTCCATGAAACAAAAAATTACCTAGGCCACTGGTATGACCCAGGTGTGACAAGATTGCCTTACAGAAATGGAAAGTGTGACCTGTAGTGAGCACATTCAGCTTCCCTAGAGCCAGAGGTCCAGAGGGTCCCTTGCTGGGGCCAGGCTCCCAGACCCTCGAGTGAGAGGTGGCTGCATTTACTGGAGTAACTCGCTGGAGACTGGCTCCCTTGGTCCTGCTGGAACAAGAGGTATTGCTTGTGGGTGCCAGCCAGGCAGTTCTGCAGGAATAGTTTAGAGGTTCTCAATTTGAGATGGCCAAAGAGTAGACAGGATTCTTCAGGGGAAGAATAAGACATGGGAGACAAATACAGAATAAATCACAAACTGATCACACAACAGAGACCAAGGAGTGTACAGGGTCTGGCAGCAGCTTGACACCATCTACCAGCCAGAAGCAAAGGGACACAGGCATCCAGTCCAGCTGCTGGTCTGCCTCTCACCCCTGGACAGAGACTGGAGGAGGAGGATGTGGGCCCCTCCCGGGAGGGCTGCTGAACCCAGTGGGGCAGACTGGAATGCCTTTTCCTGCTGTTCCCACCACCTGATGCCCTATCGCTCGAAAAACCACTTAAGTCTAGTGTACGACTTTGAAAGATTGTAATATATGCTCTGGAAAACACTCAGCAGTATGAAAACCCTCCCTGGGCCCTCTGCCCTCTCATGGTCCAAAACTGGTAGAAAGGTCCAGAAATCCTTGAGCTCTAGAAAGGTCCCTAGTCAGTCTGGAGAGCTCAGGTAGCTATATCAGAAGAACCTTCTCAAGTGCAGATCTTGATGTCTGGGGAATCTTTTCAGGGAAGATCACTTCAAACTCAATAATGAGGTCCCCACGTTTCTCGGGTGTTTTGGGGAGGGGGAAGCCTTCTCCAGGAACTTTTTGATGCATGCCAGGCCTGATGGCATCTTTGAATACGACGGGTATAGTCCTGCCATCCAGAGTGGGGATGTTCACTGTGCAGCCACACAGAGCCTCCCGGAGGCTGATCCTGGCAGGATAAATGACATCAGAGCCATCTCTCTTAAAGATACTGTGTGGCTTGTCCTTTAAAACAAAGACAATATCGCTGGAATATTGTTGGAGGTCTGGTCTCCTTCCTTGGGGAATGCGATTTTGGTCCCTTCCTTCCATCAGGGTTTAGCCACTTGTGGGAGATTTTCATCTTCTTGGTGCAGCCGCTGTAGATCTCTTCAAGGGAGACCCGAAGGTCATGGGTGACTGGGGTATCTTGCTTCTTTCAGGTGGGCTCTTGGGCAGGGCGGGAGCGGCCAAAGTTCATGTTGGTGAAGCCACCCATGCCCATAGGTCGTCAACGTCCATGCCTTCCTCCCTGTTCCACTGCCCAAAGGTGTCAAAGAGATTTCTGCCACTGAAGAATTCAGCAAACATGGCACAAGGGTCTCCATGGAATGTGTAGCTGAAAGAGGTACCATTGGCACCACTACCGCTACCGCCACTGGGGCCTCTGCCCTTTAGCCCTTCCTCCCTGTAGCGATCGAAGATCTCGCGCTTGCGTGGGTCGCTCAGCATGTCGTAGGCCTCTCCTTGAACTTATCGGCGCCGGGCTCCTTGTTTTTGTCCAGGTGGTAGTGCAGCGCCTGGCGATGGTAGGCCCGCTTGATCTACATGTCCGACGCGCCTCCGGCCAGGCCCAGCATCTGGTAGTAGTCTTTGCCCATGGCCCCTGCCTGCGGCCCGCCACCCCCATAGCCGCCGTACCCCCTATTTCTTTTTTTTTTTAAGGCAGAGCCTCACTTTGTTACCCAGTCTGGACTGCAGTGGCATGAGGTAGGCTCACTGCAGTCTCAGCCTTTTGGGCTAAGGTGATCCTCCAACCTTAGCCTCCCAACTAGATGGGACTACAGGCACATGCCCCATGCCTGGATAATTTTTAAATTTTTTTTAGAGATGAGGTCTCACTGTTGCCCAGTCTGCTCTTGAACTCCTGGCCTCAAGCAATTCTCCTACCTCAGTCTCCTCCTAAAGTTCTGGGATTACAGGTGTGAGCCCCTTTGTCTAGCCTTTAGCTCTATTTCTAATTAAAAATTTGAGTAATTTGTTGACAATAACCAAGAGTTGGTTATTGCTATTAAATAAAATTAGCTTTATTTGACGATGATTAAGAAAATCTGCCAGGCACGGTGGCTCACACCTGTAATCCTAGCACTGTATACAGGTGGAAGAGTTATATGAGGCTAGGAATTCAAGATCAGCCTTGGCAACTTAGAGAAACCCTGTGTCCACAAAAAATTAAATAAAAAAAAATTAGGTATAGCTCAGTCTCAGCTACCTGGGAGGCTGAGGTGAGATGATCGCTTTAGCCCAGGAACTGTGATCACATCATCTCACCACTGCACTGCAACCTGGGTGACAGAGTGAAACCCTCTTTAAAAAATAAACACATAGAGATATATGAAGAAACAACAGTGTATGTGTGTGTATTTATAAAGAAAAAACATAGTATAGTGATGTGGTTGTAAATTAATATAACAATATAATTTATATAATTATAATTTATGATTATGTAATTTATAGCTTAATATAAGTTATAAATTAACTTATAAATATAACTTATAAATTTAACTTATAATTATGTAATTTATAACTTAATATACATTATATTATTTATATAACTAATATAACTTTTATTATAACATTAAAATTTTGGGGGGCTGGGCATGATGATTCATGCCTCTAATCCCGGCAGTTCGGGAGGCCAAGGTGGGCAGATCACTTGAGCTCAGGAGTTGGAGACCAGCCTGGGCAACATGGCAAAACCCAAAACAAAAAATATAAAAATTAGCTAGGTGTGGCGTCATGTTCCCTGTAGTCCCAGCTGTTCAGGAAGCTGAGGTGGGAGGATGGCTTGAGCCCGGGAGGCAGAGGTTGCAGTGAGCTGAGATAGCACCAGTGTACTCCAGCCTGGGCAACAGAGTAAGACCTTGTCTAAAAAAATAAAAAATGCAAAGTCAAATTTTTTGCTGTATTTCTAATATGTGGTATTATTGTAAAGGAGCAATATAGCTTCTATCTAAAAGAATGGTAATAAACTGTGCTTTATATCTGTATCATTTAAGATAGTTTAGGCTGTACATAACAAAAATAAACAAAAACCCCATCATCAACAGGACTCAAAGTAACAGTGACTTAAGCTAGTAGTTTATTTCTTGCTTGTGTAAAAGAAGGTAGGTCATCCAGGGCTTGAATGACTGTTACATAAACATCTGCTCCCAGCCTCTCTCTATCTTGATACACTGGTGTGAGGCATTTTTGTCTAATATGGGTGCTTGAGCTCATGTTCACTGATAAATTCTGATCTGGCCATTTGGCTGCCAGCACAGATGTAAATTTAACTAGGTGACTTATCCCAGCTCAGACATATAAATTATGTAGCAAAAGCGAGCTAGCTACTATAGTCCTGAGACAGACACCTCATGTATGCAGCAGCCAGGCACATGTGCAGCTCAGCCACCTTCATCCTGCCCAATAACATCATTCGCTTAGCTTGTTTAATGTAGGTCAGAAACATATAAGTACAAGGTCACTTGATGAAAAGACCTACCCCATTTCTCCTGAATTAAATCACATCTCTCAGAGCTTGGAGTCCCTGTTGGATTACAGTTTCTATTATGTAATAAAATGTATCCACTTAGCGTTTAATCTTTGGTCTCTTAGTGTTTTTTCTCCTTAACATCAATCATCATATCCATTTTCAGCCAGTAACAAGGTGGAAGAGCTGAAGAAGACTGCTCTTCTCTTTTAAGGACCTGCCCAGAAGTTGCACAACACTTCCACTTAAATCTCATTAACCAAAGTGTAGTCACATGGTCATGTGTAGTTTCAAGGGAGTCTGGGGAAATAGTCCTTTGGACAATGGATCCAGCAAAAATATGGCATTCTTGTTAATAAAGAACGAGCAACAACTAGCCGACTTTGAAACAATACTCAGTGAAAATCTTAAGAAAAAATAGTAACTATATAATCTCAGGGCTCCAAAGATTTTAAAAATAAGTTATTGTTGTATGGTAATCAACTAATCATTCTGTCTTTTCTTTTAGGACTTTCCGTGACATTTCTGAAGATCTGAAATCTTCAGTAGGTTGACATGGTTTCCTCTGCAGTGATTTTTCTTGGAAGTTCAAACTTGACAGTGAGTTCAGCCCAGCTGTGGCCTTCTGCCCTTTCAGCTGTGCCTAGCAAGCAGAACCCAGGAAAGAAGCAGAAGCCTCCTGGCCTTACATACAGAATGTCTGGATAAGAGAGAGCTTGCTGCGGGCTGCTTTGTATTTTAAAACACAGCTTGAGAGTTCAGAATTGATGGTTTGCTCACTTAACTGTTGCTAAGATGGCTTGAAAAGTTTCATTTTATACACTGTTTCTATGGCTTGAAATTTTTCCACTTTGGTTACCTGTATTATGTATTTATAAAGTTATTTTAAGAACTCTAAACTACCTGCTGTTAAAAGAATATATGGTGTAATTTTTTTCTTGGTTTAAGAAATTTATTGTTAAACTTTTCTAACATAGTCACTTTTCAAGGAAGAGGGCTTTCACTTTTGAGCGTGTAGTTGAGTGAGGAAGAATGAGTCTTCTACCCTTCTCGCACAATGTATGGTACCCTCTTTAAGAAAGAATAAATCATAAGTGTAAGGATGAGGTGGCTTATTTGATGTTCAGTTTTCTGTTGTAACCCTAGGAGATAAAAGACTGAAGCTCTTTCTTCTCTTCCTTTTCTCTTCATGCTCTGTTACACTATTGCAGATTTCTAAAACATGGCTGATGGCATTGAAGTGAAATACTTACTAAGCTGCTATGAAAGGTAACAATATGATAAAATTCATGCTGTTACTAGGTTTTCTCCTTCCAAATGTTTTAAGTGAAAAATCTCAGGTGTAGCAATACTCTGATTTGTTAAATGTATCCCTGTTTCATTATTTGGAACTCTGCTAATAAGTTAGTTTTCAGCAGAATTTTATATTTATGTATTATTTTCCCATCTCTTAGCACTGTGCCTTGCACATGACTCTAAATTAATGCTTGTTGAATTGAATTGCAACTTTAAAAAATCTCAAATATCACAATAACCAGCATAGTGCTTTACATTTTACAAAGTCCTTTTGCACATATTTTTTCACAAGTATGTCACATCAGCTTTCATATAACTTTATATTATTTTACATCAGTTTTACACTGATGGGGAAGCTAAGGTTCAGAAAAGTGACCAACTCTTTAGTAGGATTTGGCCTCAGATCTTTGACTCCGTTGTCTGCAGACTCTGTTGTACTAGTGTTTCTTCTAAAGATTGTCTGCAGTTTTCCCAGTGTTACAAAATAGGTGTTGCTATCCATTTGTTATGAATGAAGACTTGTCCTGTAGTATATGACAGGGCTGGGAGTGGACTGTTGCTCTTAGCTGAACCCTTGCTACTGTTTAAAACAATCATCAGGCCTATCCTCTTCTCCCAAGGGAATGTGGAGGAGAAAAGGGTTCTCTGCCAGGTTGTAGGTGGTGGCTCATGCCTGTAATCCCAGCACTTTGGAAGCTAAGGCACATAGACCACTTGAGCCCAGAGATTTAAGATTAGCCTAGGCAACATGGCGAAACCCCGTCTCTACAAAATATTAGTTGAGCCTGGTGGTGTGCCTGCAGTCCCAGCTACTCAGGAGACTGAGGTAGGAGGGTCACGTGAACCCAGGAGGTTGAGGCTGCAATGAGCCAAGATGGCGCTACTGTACCCCAGCCTAGGTGAGAGAGTGAGACTCTATCCCAAAGGAAAAAAAAAGTGCGGGTGATTCTTAAGTGTTGAAGATTTCCTTTTTGGAAAGTATTTAAAGGTAGAAATACTAATAATTTTTTCTAAAACATTTCCCTAAGAAGTCACTGATAATTATAATTAGGTTAAATTTATTCTTACACTACTTAAGACAAATTTCATTTAGAAAAGGCTGCCATGAAGTCTTCTGACTATATGCAGTAGACTACATACAGATCTCATTTCTGTTATGAATCCTTTAGCAATTATAGTCAGCTATTCCACTAAGTATTAGATTTGTCACTTAGTAACTCATTCTCTTCTTTAGTCAATCATTCCTTCACTAAAACATTTCTTGAGGGTTTGGTAAACTCTAGGCTCCATGCCAGGCACTGTACAAGGTGATGGAGATTGCTCATAAAAAGGCCTCTTGCTCTTAGCCAGATCATATGTCATACTAAATTTAAATTTTTTGCATTAAAAGGCTAAAAACGAAATCAAGTTTGTTTTTGTTGTATAGATTGGTTTATTTATAGCTGTAATTAGCGCATATTCATGAGACAAATATATACAATGAGTTACTATGCATATACAAAGTGCTTTTAGCTGTATAAAGTGATATTGCAAAAAACTAGAGTTAATGTTTGTTGCTGGGGGATAATTATTAGCATAAATACCAGGTTCTTAGAGGGCTTTAAGAGAATAGAGTTACCAAAATTAGTAGCAGTGAGGTAATATTACCCTGAAATATCAGGAGCAGAGGTGCCCCAGAGTGCTTTACAGCCATGATCAGGGAACTTGAACTGCCCCATTGCTACAGCAACAGCATAAGGACTAGGAAGGTTCACCAGCTGGGGAGGTCATCTTGGAACCCTCTGAACCAGAAAGAAGCATCCCAACATGATTCCTCAGATGCTGTGAGGAAGGTTTACAGAATTTTCACAGGGCAACAGAAATCAAGTGGTTTGAAAAG